TAAGTCTGAAAAGGAAAGAAAAATTCCGACCCCTCAAAATGTTTACAAAACCCAGAACCCATGTGGAAATCATTATATAATGCAATACATTTAACATTTGGGTATCATGTTTTCAGAATTACAAAACAAGGCTCTTTATCACCCCCCTCAAATGGGAAATATACACATAGCAACGTAATATAAACAGCTATTTTTAGCGTATTTCTTGTTTCGAACATATTATGAGGTTTATAAACGGTACGATCATACTGGGGACGGGAGAATCACTAATATAAACCTACTAACGGGTATGCGAGGCATCCAGGGCGTCTGTACATTATGTTTAAAATGGGTAAGAGGTACTTTTTGACATTTTCAAGGGTCAAAGGTACTTTTTTGAAATTCTCAGGAACCAAGGCTATGTTTAAACACTTTTGGAGGTGGGGGTTTTCTTGCAATTTGTTTCAAGGATTGGAATTTTCTTGAAGAATTGTTTCAAGTGTGGGTTTTTGAGAAATTTGGTCTCACGGTTAGTGATTTTCACGACAAATTAGTGCCTTGCATATCTGTATATAAATACTTCAAGTGATATCCCGAGGTACGCTCAGACATTTGGTAAGACCTCTCTGATTACAATTACGTTCGTCTATTATCTCCCGCCGAATATGCTAATTTTCCCGCCACTAAATTATTTATAACCCCCGAATAATTGCAGTAAAAATATGATTTGTTAATAATGTACTTTGCTACATACTATATACTAGTAATTTAAATTCTGACATACTGTGACCCGGTTTAATTTAATTTGACACGTGACCATTAATTTGGCGAGTCAATGAAAATCGTGAAATGTTGTAGCAGTGATTTTTTTTCCTACCACAAAGTTATCAAATCACAAAAAATCCTAGCAGTGACAATTAGGTGGTTTACAGTAAAAAAATATAAGTAAAAAAAATAAGCACCCCAATCGATACCCTCATTAGAGGAAAAATGGTAAATTTGTTCAGTAATAATCGACCACTTTGTGTTCATAAAATCGTAGCAGTACAACATGCTGTGTTACGATCTCTGCGTATTTCGTGACAGCGTGAACTGACGCGTGTATTATGAGCACTGACTTATCTGT